TACCAGTCAACATTTCATGGCAGTTATTTATCATAAATTATTGGCCTTAATGATTATCTGACAGATTTTGCTGAAGCAACAGAAAAATTATTAGACAAGTTAACAAATGGCACCCATTCACAATGAAAGAAACTATGACAGAAGCAACATTCTCAACTGTTCAAGATAACATATAAATCTTACTTTATTGCTTGGTTTAAACTGTGCTCAATAGATGTGATATAAAATATAAGTTTCTCAAGGACAGGGACCACATCTCACATTTAATACACATTGAATAAGGCACCTACTTGAAAAATCATTTTAATGAAATTAAGATATTTTTTCAAGGTGGAGAGGAAAAGAAGCAATAATACCATCTCATGAAGGAGTGGTTTATTTGATCTTCCCAATGTTTTTTTTTTGTTTTTTTTTTTTTAAGAATAAAAACAAACAGCAACTACAACAAAATAGGGTCCTCATGGAATGAAATGATCAGAAATGTGGTAACATCATTACCCCCTTCTTGAAACCTTTATTCAGTTAATAAGTAGGTTTACTATATTTACTCCACAGAGCCTATTTCTAGATTATATAAACTGTCCTGGTTGAACTTTGTGATAAACAAGCAATGATTTCTCCATTTTTCATTTTTTAAGATTTTAGGCAGTGTTTGTACGAACATGGGAAAGTGTCTTGCTTTTAAGGCCATAAGGGGTCAGCCCCTGGAAGGATCTTCTCTTGCTTCCATTGAGATCAACTACTTCTTGGTCTAATGTCTTTCTTTTCCTTTCCTTCCTTTTTTTTTTTTTGTTTTTTTTTTTGTTTTTTTTTTTTTAAGAATAAAAACAAACAGCAACTACAACAAAATAGGGTCCTCATGGAATGAAATGATCAGAAATGTGGCTTTGCTACATTTAAAAGTGCAGTATAGCTAGATGGCTAAGACGGAGGGATGGGAAGGCAGTCACATGCTAGCTGTGCGACCTCAAACAAGACACTTAACCTCTCTGGACCTCAGATTCCCCTTTTGTAAATAGGTTGATAGTAGCCATCTTGGTTTTTATAGGGAGATTGGTTGAGATAACACATATTAACACAGTACCTGCACCTGTTAAGGACTCAATAAACTGTAACTATAATTATTTTATTATATTAGTGTTATATGATGATGAACAATCTTTAGCACTGTGCAAGGGGAGGAGGAGAAGACAACAGAGAGGAGCAAGGGAAGAAGGGAGAGGAGAGGGAAGAGAAAATATCAGCTTGCTAACATTGGGTCAGAGAGCCTCTAAGCATAATTTATTCAGAATGAAGCCCGCCTGTGGTCACGGAGTGTTCACACCTGCTCCATCATCCTTCACGATTCCTGAGGGACCTCACTCATCTATTCTCCACAGCAGCCAGTTTTAACCTCCTCTAATCTGGATAGTGTCTCCTACATCACAGAGAATAGATAGGTCTTCAAGCAAGAATGCCTTTAGCCTCCTGTCCTGCTACCCAATTCCACCCCCACTTTGTATCTTCAGAGCACTCCCTTCTAGTGGTTATTTCTCATTCAAATTATATACAACTCCTTTCAGCAATTTCCCTCTTTCCACTTCCCTTCAGATCCAAAATTTTCAAAACTGTAGTCTTCAACCACTAAAACTCGTTTTGCTACATTTTACTATTGAGCTCCTGTTGCTACATCTGGTAGACAAGTCTCACAACGTATTTCCTCTGATTGTTGTGGCATCTGACACAGTTGACCATTTCCTCCTCTTTTAACCTTTTGGGCCTCAGCTTCTGAGACATTATTATCTGGAGGTTCTTGTACTAACTCTCTTACCAAATTTTAAACTGTGCAGCTGGTGCAAAAAACATCTGTTTAAAAAAAAAATAGCAAGCAGCACTTTTCTCCATGTGCCATTCCATAAAAAGGTAATTTGTGTATCTGTTTACTAGAACTCTTTCCTGAAAAGTGAAATATTGCTTCACTCTTTGGTTGGCAAATGTGTTGTTTCAAGACGGAAAAGAATCTGCTTTAAATGAAGAGAAATCTATTTCTGTCCATAATCCTCAGAGCCAAATTTGAATCTTAAAATGCACTTTTCATCAAAGCATCTTAACAAAAATATTCCTGCCAATTAAACCAAGACATCTAAAAATATTGTATTCCAAAGCCAAGCTTTATGCTCAAGAGAATTCTAATTGAGATCACATTCTTCCAAAGGTCTACCATTGAGCTGACGGTCACCTGAGTCACGTCGCTCAGATGTCATCACTACCCTCCTGAGTAAGAACTCACAACTGCATGCTGTTTAGGAATTCTGCATTTTTCTCATGTTTTTCCTGGAACGTGCATTTTCCACGTTTTCCTGGAGCTTCTTTACACCCACCCGAGTTATTATAACTAACCAAGCCAGAGACACATGTAACTTTGAACTGGAAGCCAACTTAACGTGTCCTTTCTCATTTCAATCATAAGGAAACTGATACCTACTAAGATAGATTATTAGCCAAAGCACACTTAGGGCAGCAACTTGAGAGAACATTGGGCTGCTTGAGCAATAGCCTGGCATTCAGTCTTCATTAAGTTAGGTTTATAAAACACCAATACATTCACATATATCACTGTATTAATTCTGGTAGTCACCTAAGATAGGTAAAATGGGACTATTACTTCCTTTTAATAGGTGATGAAATTGAGCCTTGTCTGGCCGTGAATATCTTCAGGATGACTAAGCATCAGAAGTGGAATTAGCATCTAAGACTCCTGATTCAGTTCAGGATATTTCCATCATTGTCATTTACAAGGAGCATCACATTGACATGGACATTTACTCCTTCAGTACAAATGAGTCAATGACAATGTAAATGGTGTGATGCCTACCATTCTTTAAAGGAAGACATGCTGTAATAAGAGAAAGTTACAGTTACCAGAGATTCCAGTCCACAAAGGATAATGAGGCAGAAATGTGTGCATTAATCAATTTTGTGGTTTCACTTAAATAATCAATCAACCATTCTTTCAGAAATGAATCTACTGAAAAGATCCTAACACATTTAAACCTGTAAACAGGGGACAACATACCACAGCCATCTATTTAGACACCAGTGATGGGACTTCCCATCTGTTGCTTCAAAGTAAATAATGATTTTTTAAAAATAACAAAATACATTACAAAATTTTTCTTTGAAGGATTAATCTTAGGTCATTAAGATTGCTTGCTGAAATAAATGTTAAATTTTTAACAAGTCAAAATGTGGCTGGACAAATTCATGGGTGTTAGCATTAGGCTAAGAAAGGAATCTGGCTGGGAATTTTTTAAACTTGGTACTGATCATTAATGCTGCAGTGTTGTCCCATTTACAACCTGACATTTATTTTTGCACTTTCAACATCTCATGATTTTTCAGCAACAGTAAATAGCTTTAAGTGGTGACACCTCCCCCTAGCTGGATCTATTTTTTGACTAGCAGGTCTTGGCATTGTGTCCACCTTAGATATCTCTCCAAAATGTTGCATGCAGATGAAAAATAAACAAAACTTAAGAAGGCAAAACAAAATAAAAACTCTGTCATTCTAAACAGTTTTAGGATATAATGCATCTGAATTCTTAGCTAACCTTACAGCAACTTGTAGTCATCTCATGACTGCCTCTTTGGATTCTAAATGTTTCTTAATTTTTTCTAATAAAATCTCATTTTTGTGATGCTCTAAAGAGGGAGGTGGTAAAATAAAACTTACAAGGGAGAGAAGAGGATATACGAAGCAAAATACAAAAGAAAGGGATCTGATTCAGCCACATGCAGGACACAGAGAAACACACTTGACTTCTATATTTCTTTGTTTTTAGCAATGCAGTTTAGTTTCAAGTACCTGGGACTTAGGAGGCACTCACATTGGGACATTTTTTAAATTTTTATGCTGAAATTCAAAATGTAAACTGATAAAAGACCTCTCAAATCCCACAAAAGAGAATACTTGTATATCTGGGAAATTAAATAATTTCCAAAGAAAGAAACATTATCCACAAAGGGGATTTTCATTATGTGTGGGAAATCTATGGTTCTGAATCATTCAATATTGTCTTTAGTCTATGTTTATATACTATATGATAAAAACATTCCCAATCATTAGAATACAAGAAGATTTATGTCATTAAAGCATTACTGAAATAGTTGAATATTCCCTTGAGTATTCGCAGGATGCTTCAGAATCTTGTGACACTTCAGGATTGTCACTTTTCTTTGGACAGTGCATAGGGACTATGCTGCTTATTCGAGCTTCCTCTTTGTCTGAATTCTGGGAATATGGAAATGTGTGTAACATTGAGAGCTAACTTTCAAGTCGTGATGGCTGGCTTAGAAGTGCTCTGCATAAAAGATTACACGTTACACCCTCTTCTTTAATAATTCATCCAATTTCTAGACAGAACTATACTATAACACAATCCTCTGAAACGTGATGTACTATCAGGATGTAAAGTAACAATGGCACTTTACATTAAAATGTGGCCTATCTACAGAAACTTTTCCAAAGGGTAAAACTTTAAAAACATAGAGTAGAAAAGTCACTAGAGAAATGCCCCAAGCAAGTGTGGGTATCTGGGAAACTTGTCATTGTCTTGCATATAGGCAGTGATCCAACATGGGCAGCAGGGGGCGCTCCTGCATGAAGCAAACCCCCCACGGGTTTCCTGGTCAGGTACACAGAACCTTTCTCTTAGCACTTGCCCCAAGTCCAAAGGTAGCCACTAAAGAGTGCTGCTGTCAATAAATCATACGACCTTAGGAAATGCAGTGAACAACACTGCAGAAGTGACCAAATATAACACATGGGTCTGAGTCTGCCTTTTGGAAACAGGGTGGACAAATTTCATTTTATTTTGGTGGGCAGGAGGGGTTAGAGGAGACAGCAAACAAGGGGGTTGGGGGGGAGGGGCTTGCCATTAGCTGTAAAGAGGTGATTTCCGAAAGCAACAAGTGGTATCAGAATCCCAGGGTCTTTGTTACAGTTTAGTTTGTATATTACACTCTCTGTTAAATGTCAAATCAAGACCTTTCCCTCTTCCCCTGACTCCATTCCAAACCCATAAAATGACTTGATGAACTGGGTTTCCCATTGAGCCTCAAGAAATGTGGCTTCCACAGGGTGTCTCCTGCATGTGGCTGAGTTTTACGCGTCAGTACGTGATGCATTATACTCGCTCTGTGCCAGGTCCCAGGAATCTGAACCAGGGACCACAAACAGCCAACTCTGTAACCTCAAACACAGTGAATTCTCCCTCATCTCATACAGAAACTCACGCACAACCCACCCCAAAAGCTGGCTCCCTCCTCCTCCCTGTCCCGAAATGAAGGTCTGCAGAGACATAGCCATAAACCTCAATACTCACCATATTGACTTCAGAAACCATGTCGATGCTGGCGATGTCAATGTTCATTCCCACAGCCACTGGGGGACCTGCAAACCAAGATGGCCAGCCACGTGATTTCCCCGAACTTCATTCATTCTTAGCAAGAGTTGTCCCTAGGCATGTGACACTCTTTCTAAAAACCCTCTCTACTGTTCACCCTCAAATTTTTCAATTCCCTGCTCCTTTGTTAAAGAGTGGCAGGCATTCATTCCTTTAGGAAATGCTCTGTTGAACACACGTGTGCTGATGGGCGAGGGATTCCAGCTCAGTCTGCGTATGCAGATGTCTCAGCATGTGAATACACAGAACTCACAGAAGCACAAGACTCTTTCTAGACCAAGGGATTTTTATATATTGCGCTGAAGCCCTCTCCCCCTCATTCTTTCCTTTCCCCGTCTTCAGTGTGCAGGTTTTAACTCTTTGAGCTTCATGAGTCTGAAGCAAAATTAAATGGATGTATCAGCATATATCTATGGCTGCGAGAGAGGTCTCCCCACCCCCCACCCTCTCTACCCTCCCATTTCTCCCCCTACCCTCCCATCCCCGTATCCTCCCCGCTTCTCGCCCCATGCTGTGAGGCTTGGAAGACCGGACAGCATACAGACATAAGCCACTTTAAACCGCGGCCAGAAGAACTCTTCCAAAGTAGGAGGGCACAGGGGGTTAATGTCACCTCTCAACAACTGCCTGCACATATTGCCCTCAAAAATGTTCACGATGGCCTTCCGTAAGCCAGTTTCTCTGGACACACCATTAACTAAACTTATGAGGTCTGTATCTCAAGGAAGCAAGCACAGTGAAGCAAAGGATTTATAACAGTGAAGCCGAAGGACAGCAGTCACCAAATTTGAGTACAGGCTTAAGAGGGTCTCATTGAAGGACCGCTTAAATGCTGGATAGTAACAAATCGCCTTAAGTTTGGATCCGTTTCTCAGCATGGTAAAATAGAGCCACATCCAGTACACCACATGCACCCACAACTAGGGAGAGGAAGAGAGCGCGCACAAGGCTCAAAAGACAGCTCCGGTTATAGCTGGACTGTTCTTATCTACCAGGCAACCCCATTACCTCCAAAATCTGGTCTCAGACGAATGTCATAGCCTTTCAGGAGCCTATCCACCGTCTCTTTAACCAGCGACATATTACTAGGGTCATTGACACTAAAAAAAGAAATGACAATAAACAGGCATCAGTAAGGAAACCAGCACAGCGTCTTTATCTCATCCTTACTATAAATCCCTGCTCACAGAGGTATGCAGACAGAGCCCTTCAAAGTGAGAAAGGGGAAAAAAATGCTGGGTCCACTTACCTCTGCGCACAGACAGCGGCGATTATTAAGGGGAATGACCAAATCCCAAAGTAGCCCCTTTTCCGGACTCTCCACATCCCTTTAGTTTTTGATGGGATTGAGGGTTTCACTGAAGAGAGGCGATCCAACTTAGTCTGCCCAGTGCAGTAATTCTAATGTGAGGCGCATGCGCACGGCGTACCAAAACATCAAAGGGGCAGCGGCGGCTGCCGGAGACCGAGCAGATTTCCTTGTTTAAAAAAAAAAAAATTAAAAAAAAAAAAAAATTAAAGGGGAAAAAGGAAAAGCATATATATGTATAATATATACATATCTAATAATATAGAAAAGCCATCTCACAAGAGCATCAAGAGTAAAATCTGTATTGTCCTATCTTTAAGATAAAAACAACTATAGCGTCTGGTAAGTTTCGGTAGTTGCCGGAGGCAGTTTTGCAGCTCGCGGGCTGTGAATGTTTCGGATGTGTGTGTCTTCTTAAATATGCAAAACCAGATTAGGAATTTAGGGGACGGCAGGTGTGAGGTGCGAGCGGGAGCCCACTTCTGGTCTCAGCAGGAGAAAAGGGCGAGGAGTTTGAACTTTATTTTTGTGCAGAACAGCATCCCCCGCCTGGGACGAGACGGGGGTGGGGGCGAGGGTGGAATGGGGGTGGAGGTAGTGCGGCTGGGGGTGGGGGAAGGTGATGCTGGGAGCAGGAGTCGAAGGGGGAGGGAGGAAAGAAACCAATGGGAGGAACGCTGAGCAGCCCATTGGATTTGGGGCGGGGGTGGGCAGGTGGAGAATAAGAAAGAAATGCTAAATTAAGAAGGAAGAATGGGAAAGAAACGAAGAATAAAATGATGCCTGGTCTTTTCTAGGGGTCCAGGAGCAAGCTTTTCTTCACTACTCACGAGCGATTTCTTTCTCCTCTCCTCACCCTTTGCCCCCTATTTTCCCAAAGAAGAAAACCTCAGGGTCCTGGTTTCTCGCCGTGTGACGTGCCTGACCCTCTAGTCCAGGTTATTTATAGCAGGAGGAGGAGGGGGAGGCGAGGAGAGCGAAAAGGCAACGCTGTCTCTCCAGGTTTCGGTCTGATTCTGCAGTGGGAAATTCTGAGTGGGCAGGGGTGGGGTTTGGATGAGGGGAACTGGGACGAGAGGGCGTGGGGGACGCGGGTGACGAGCGCCCTAGCGCAGGTGCGGGGGGCTGGGGGGCAGGTGGCCTGGGGGGACGCTCCCTGGCCGGGCCCCCCACCCCCTCAGCCGCACTTGCACCCGCGCGCACACGTGCCGGGACAGTCCCCACCCGCCGCCCGCCCTCCTTACCTCGCGGGCCCGCGCTCGCCGCCCACTCCCGCCGCGCTCCGAGCTGGAGCCCCCGGGCCGGGGAGAGGGACCCCCGGCCGCTCAGGGGCTGCGCCTCTGGATACCACAAGCCGGGGCAGTCCGTAGAAGACAGGCAAAATGAGGAAGGGGCCCAGCGACCGCCCGGGGCACCAGGTTTTCCAGCGGTCTCCGCGCCACCTTGTTCTCTCTTTCCTTCCCCGGGCCCAGCGAGACTCGCACACCCAGAGGCTGCCTCTTCCCTCCCGTCCGAGGCCGCCGGGCCCGGAGGAGGCAGCAAGCTTGGAGGGGGGTGCGGTGGGGGGAAGGAAGATACTGAGTTCACAAAAGATCTTTCCTCCGCCGGAGGGAAAGAGCCGTGCGGCGGGCGCCAGGAGGTGCTACGAGGCTGGGGGCACCGGGCTGTGGGAAGGAGCCTGAGACCGGGACGGATGGTGCTCCCGAGTTTATCTTGGGAGGGTGAAGCGGAGCCGGGCAGGTGCTCCGCTACTCCTGCCCCTACTCCTCGGTGAAGAACTGGAAATGCCAGAGTTCAAACCTGCGTTCTGGACCCGAGTGCTTAGCCTGTAACTGCTGCTACTACTAGTCATTGTTACCATTAACTGAGCGCCTACTACGTGCCGGGAGTGCTGCATGAATGCTTACAACAATCCTACCTTTTAGCTGTAACTTCTGTGTCCCCATCTTATAGACTTAGAAACTAGCGCACTGAAACTGAGGGACTTGCCCAAGGTCATGCAGGTGGCGAGAGGTGAAACCGGGATTGGACTTCAAAGCCAGCGTCCTTAACCACTGGACTAGACGGTCTTGACTCCCGAGTGTCCGACCTGCCCCGCTGTCAGAAATTCGCTGCTGCCGAGCTCCCCGCACCCACGGAGCCCGCGGCGGCTGCAGGACGAGCGGGCGCGCGGACCGTACCAGGCTCGCCCGGCCGGTCTCTGCAGAGAGGAGGGGCCGCCGGCCAGCGTCGTTCCCCAGGCTCGCGGTCTCCGCAGCACCGGGGATTCCTCGGAGTCCTGGTCTGGGCTGCACTCTTGACCCACTTCCCTTCTGAAGACCTCTCCCCTCCCCAGCTTTGGTCAGAGGGTCATTTTGGGGCAACTTAGGGGAATGACTCCTAGGGAAGTGTGGAGGCGGGAGGGCTGTAGGGGGGGTGGGAGGGGAATCCGACAGCTCCCCTGGGTTGGATGAATAACAGGAAGGGAGAGCTGTGTGCCTTCGCTGACCAAGGGAGTTTCTAGGGTAGAGACAGGTAAAACGGTACCATAACACAGTGGAGATCTACAGCGTGGCGTGCTTCCGAGGCTCTTAGGAGCCCATCCGGAGAAAATGTTTATACAATCAGCATTCTACCAAGAGGATTCCCAAAGCAGTTTGAGTCCCAAGTAATAAAATGCTGAAGTCCTCGAAAGCTCCTCTCCCTCTTGAACACATCTCAAAACAGGGTTTTCCTTCTGACCATTACTTACCTGTGTTGTGCTTTCTGCACTAACAGCTCCTTCTGCTTAGGCCTACTTCAGTTTGGGCTGAGAGAACAAAATGCAATGAACAAAACAAAACACAAATATTGTCAGACATAATAATAATACTAACAACAATGGCCCCGTGAATGATTAACCAAGTATATATTGAAGGCCTACAGAAAATTAAGGGAAAAGAAGGAAAAGAGAAAAGTAGCTTGCATCTCAGCAAGTAAAATAGCATAATGCAAACAGAGCATAAAGGAACTGGAGGTAAGCTTTTTGATTCAAAGCCCAGCTCAAATACTTAGTAACTTTGTGACATGGGCAAGTCATTTAACTTCTCTAAGCCTCAGTTTCCTCTTCTGAAAGCAAGAGAAAGATAATAGTACCTTTTCCACTGGCTTGCTTGTAGAATGACATAAATATACATGTAGCATTTGGCATGAAATTAATAAATATTAGCAATCTTTTAAGGAGCAAGATATAATGAATAGATAGGAAAGCAAACATGGTTTAGTGACATAATACTGAGCAAATATAAATTTGGTGTGTTTATTACAGAATAGCCTGAGAAGGAAGAAACAGACATTTCAAGAGAATTAAGGTAAGGTTAAGTAGGAGATGTATTAAAGACCCACGCTGCGATCAACATGAGGAAACACTAAAGAATATTTGTTTTTTGTATTCAGAAATCTCAGAGATATCTCTTACCAGTAACGGTAACTAATGTAATCAAAAATACTTTCCTGCTAGTTGCAATACCTAATATCACTTTATGCCTAAAGTGTGCTTTTATTGTACAGAAGAATCAACTCTGGACATCTCTCTGGAAGACAATGCTAATAGGCTGCCGAGGAAAATGCAAAATGAGAATAATAATATGGAATCTGAAGATGTGTCCGTTGCTGGAAAACATTCTCCAAGGTCCTAAATATACAATAAGAAGGCAAAATGTGAGTACTCTTAAGACATCATACTTTGAAGACATCTCTGAGTACAGCTCTCAGCTTGTTTCACCCACTAAGTTAATATAATAGAAATAAAATCAGCCCAGAGAATCTCTGCACTTTAACAATCAAATGACCAATAGGAAAATTTGAGGAGAAGAGGGATTCAAAGATGACTCATACATTTCTGGTTTGAGCAGCTCAGTGGTGGTAGTAGAAAAAAGGTGGTGAGGATTATACATTCAGTTCGGGTCATGTTCAGTTTAAAGTACCCACTATCCATCCCAGGCACACTAGATATTTTGATATATGCACCTGAAGGTCAGAACTGAGGTCTGGGCTGGGACCAATGAAAATTTTCTTTTTCTCATCCTAACACTGTATGTCTATTTTCTGCTTTAATTTTCTTCTTTAGAACTTACAACTATGTAAATGTAGCCATATTTTACCCATTTTTTTCATCTGTCTGCATGGAAATAAAGTTTAAAAATTGTGATCTTTGTCTGCTTTGCTCATTGCTGTATTCCAATACCTAGTGCTCGAAGAAGACACCTAGTACATATGTTCTGAATGAATGAGTGCATATTTGATGATCCCAAAGGTGTAAATAACTTGTCTTGGGAATATATGAGACTAATCCATGGAGGATGAACAGAGTGAAAAGACTGGAGGATCTAGACAATAAACTTCTACTAAAGGTCAATTACAGTCATCAGAAGGGTCAAATTAGGATTAGCCTCAAGGGTAGGGGGAAAACTAGTGTAGTATCATGAAAGTCTAGGAAAATGAATATTATGGTAAGGAAGAACTAGTCCTTCCTAGGATTAAATCTTTTAAAACATTTTAAAATTTTTGAATAGATATTAAATGTTCATGTTGTAAAATGCAAAAGGTAAGTCATTTTGTCCCTTTGCCACCAGATTCTCTCTCTAGAAATTAATACAGTATTTCTTAGGGGGGTGGGTAATGAGGTGTTCTATATCGTAGCCTTTCATCTGTTGACAAACAAGTATGGAATATGCCTACAGGTGCCAGGCAGTTCTCCCCGACCTTCTGATGCTGGTGAAGCATCAGCAATAATGATTTTGGAGAAGATTCTCACGGAATGTGGGTTACCTGTTTGGTGGAATAATTTAAACATTTGAATTTATAATTATTTTTAAAAATGAATAAAGGTTCTCTTGGATTTGAATATTGATTGGGGTCTTTTAACATTTTGTACAGAAATTTCAGTGATACTGAAGAGTAAGGAGAAAGTCAGAAATAACATGTAGAAAGAAAATATGTTTATTACTTTCAATACAAACAATAGCACAACCTTGTCAATTACCAGTAATATGTTGTCATTAAATGGCTTCCTGGACCTACTCTAATATACAAATAAGAACTGTTTTAAATAACCTCATATACCTTATATATGAATACAACTTTATGTATATATGCCTAGTGTAGTTTAAATT